AGCTGCCAAGGGTAATCTCCGGCGAAGCTCCGGCGGGTGCGCGGGTGAAGGAGAAGAAGGAGAAGAAGAGCTAGGCCGTTCGTGTGAAGCGTAGTCACCGTTCGTCGATTCATTCGTCATCTTCGTACTTCCAACCCCTACATTCAGAGGTGAGTAGTTGTCCCCTCTAATTCTAGAACATTTAGTTATAATCTATGTCGTTATATTCATGGGAATATCGTACGCAACCTACGTATAATCTATGCATGTTCGTAGGTTAGCCACCAAAACATTCATCACGTAAAACCTATAAATCTTGGCCTAGGAATCACTAGGAATATATTCATCAATGTTGTATTATTGTTCTAAAAAGAATCTAAGTGTTAAATTAGCAAAACGGTTCAAAACGAAGTAAGGGACAGCGAACTGTCTACGGGACGGTCGACCGCCGCTACGGACGGTCGACCGTTCCCACTGCCATACCGACGGTCACCACCGTGACGGTCAACCGCCGGCCGCGACGGAAGACCACGGTGGACCGCCGGCATCCCAGTCCTCCAAATGTAGCCCACGGTCGACCGCCGGTAGGGTACGGTCGACCATTCCACGGGCAGATTTCCAGGTAGTTTGTAGAACGAGCCCCGTTGACCATGTTGACCCAGAATCTAAGAGTTTGTCGCATGAAATGTTAATCTTCATTATAAATGTTATTTAATTGGTATATTCTTGGCGTGTACCAAAAGTAAATATATCAAGCATTCATCATGTTCATTCTAGACGCGTGTCGTAGGTTTTCATCATGTTCATACCGCTGTAGGGAGGTCAGGCCTTCATGCGCCTACTACAGTGGGCCCGTCCAGAAACCTTTGGGATCCAACGGGTTTTCATCATCTGGGCCTTGTGTACGTACATAGTAGTCAGATTACGGCTACTACCCGGTTTTTGCTAGTCCACTCGCGACATCTTTGTTGTGCCTGGCTCGTTACCGTTCGGGTACGATAACCCGAGTGCAGGGGTGATCCTGTCGAGTGAGACTAAGCCAAGGGTGTCCCTGATAGTTTAAGTCATGCATCAAGCCATATCATCACCATGTATGTTCCCAACCATCTTGTTATATGTGATAGCACCCCAACAGGTGAAAACTAAACAGTTATTAAACAAGTGGTTTTCCGTACGTTAAGTACAGGTATTAATATGTGTATAGCCTTATGGGTTATCACTTAATGTTCTTTTGTTAGAATCACTCCTCAGGTTTTGTTGAGCGTGTAGTTGTTTTTGCTACACGCAGGTAGACATGACGGTGCAGGTGCCAACCCTGGAGAGCAATGACGATGGGGAGATGGGCGGCGCACGGACGAGTTCATATTTATTTTTAATTACTCAATTAATAATTTGGGCATGAACCCACCCTTGTCGTTTATTTAATTTGGACTGGACTTATTTAATTACTTCTGCATTTACTCTGCACTTTACCACACATGTTTTGGGAGTAACTCTCTAGTATTTATTCCACTAATTAAAACCCAACCGTTTTCATATTAAATACTCATTAGTGTTTACGTTACTGACGGTTCTCGGAATGCCCATGTAACCCTACCGGTCCATTGGATCGCGGGAGAACCGGGTCCACGGGAGGCGGGTGTTACAGTATACTTGTGTTGACCTATTACACTTGAAATCATCAAGTCACCCTCGCTGACCAGTCCTTGTACATCACCTAGTATTTTTTTATGACCTGTCCTTTAGAATCATCACGCCTTTCCTATGACCTGTCCTTCTTTGAAATCATCAAGTCATTCCCATGACCTGTCCTTCTTTGAAATCATCTAGTCATTCCCATGACCTGTCCTTCTTTGGATCATCAAGCATTCCCTTTCAGACCTATCACCTTTCGAATCATAAAGCCATTTCTTTTGAGACCTGTCCGATTTTTGGAATCATCATGTCTTCATACTAGACCTGTCCAATTTTGGAATCATCGTCTTCATATTAGACCTGTCCAATTTTGGAATTATCAAGTCTCCATATTAGACCTGGCCATTTCATGACCTGTCACGTTTAGATCTGTCGAATACACTTCATGACCTGTCCTTTTGGCTCCGTGGCAGCCTAGTCGTTGGGCCTGGCTTTTGTGTTTTGGAGTTTCCCCCCAAAACTTTTCACCTTCCAAACTCAAAATTTGAATTTCTCACTTCATCATTACATATTACACGTGTCATTCCCTCGGCCTCCCACCTGTCGCCTCGATTCTTAACCCTCCTCTCTCTCTCTTATATATACCCCACCAACCCATCTCATTTCTTCACTTCTCCTCTTCGATCTTTCCACTTCAACCGGTCAGCTTTCTCTCTCTAGCTCTCTTCCAAGTAAGTGCTTCAGTCCTCCTAGTCTTTCATTTCTTCCATCTTTTTATTCTTGACCGGTAGGCTAGAGTCATGTCGTCCTCTGATAGCCAAAATGTGTCCGGTCAGTCTTATGGGTCGGGCTCTCAGCCCTCTTCCTCTTCCCACTCTGAATCTTCTTCTCCCCTTCCTACTCCTTTGATCCGTCGCCCCTCCCAGCAGTCCAACTCTCAGGCCCGGGTAATAATTGCCAAGGAACCTGTCCCTTTGAACCAATTGCCCGGTCGATTCAATCCCAAGGTCCTCAGCTAGGAGCAATGCGAAGAACGACTGGGATACCTGGGCTTCCTAGCCCTTGATGTTAGACCAGTGTTCAAAGAGTCTTCTAGGGTCACCAAAAAGGTTTTGGCAGAGGTCCGTTCTGTCCTTCCATCCGACTATAAACTCCTTTCGAACACCACCTCGCCCAACATTATTGAACCTCACCAAGGAACCCGATTGGGTTTTCACATTGCTTCTTTAGAGGGTGGCATCATTTTCCCTCTTTGCCCCCTCCTCATAGAAATCTGTCACAAGTTTCATATTTTACCCGGTTAGCTCACTCCCAATGCTCACCGGTTCTTGAATTGCTTTGCTAATATTTGTGATTCTCTGAAAATCAAACCTTCCCTCGACCTTTTCCTTCACATGTTCGAAGTCTTGCCCGGGACTAGTGATTGCCCGGGCTTTGTTTATTTTCAATCTTGTAATAAGAGGGGTTTTGTGACCGGTCTTCCCCCTAGCCACAAAAAATGGAAGAAAAGATTTGTTTTCATTGAATTCCCCCCTGACCAATTTCCTCTCTCTAACCCTGAGTGGGCTCCGGATGAAGGGTGATCCTATGACCGGGAAACCTTATGCCTATGGCCGGGAAACCTTATGCCTTATGTCTCAAGGGTGATCCTATGACCGGGAAACCTTATGCCTATGGAGGCTAGGTGTTCCGGTTACCTAACTCGAATGGGGGTATGTCTGTGACCCATGACGCTGAGGATAACCAGGCTGATTCCCCGGATGGTCATGCTAAGGTCGGCTCTCCTCATCGAGGTTGGTTAATTTACCTTTCTCTCGATTCCAATTTTATTTAACAAGGTTAAATATCTAACCGGTAATATCTTGTTTTGTTCTTGTTGGCACACATGAACTTCAACCGGTTTGTCAACCTGGATGATGATGATGATGACGAAGTCCTCCACGGCGGCCAGTCCCCTTTTAACAACCCTCTTTCTCCTCCTCAAAACCCTGGGATGGAAGGGGCCACCCATCTCTTCGAGGATGACCGGCTTGATTCTCTCCAGGCCCAGGTCGAATCCAAATCTAAGGAGGCTGGCCCTTCTTCTTCCCGCGCTAAGGGCCACAAAAGGAAAGGGTCCCAAAAGAGCTCCAAGGGGGACATGAAGAAGAAGGTCAGGTTATCAAATCTGGAGGGGGAGTCCATCGAAGAAACCTTTCTAGCCTTGGCCAAGAAACTTATCAAGGCATTACATCTTTGATTTTCCTCCCGGTTAGATTTTTTCCTTTGCTTTAATTGATACATCTCTTTTTTGAATTTGTAGGCCGGGGTCATTTCAGAAGAGATTGGTCAAACACTTTTGGAGCCAAAGGACCAGGTTTCCCAACTCACCCTCCTCCTTGATTCTGCCAAGTTGGAGATTAATGACCGGGCAGAAAGGGAGAGGAGGCTTGAGGAAGAGTTGAAAGAAGAAAGGGCCAAATTGGTGAAGGAGAAGAGGAAGATGGCTGAGCTGGAGGAAGCTTTGGGGCAGGCCGAAGAATCTGCCCGGGCCAAGAAGGGGCCTTCTGAAGCTGATAACTAGGCCGCATGCCATCACTTGGAGATTGCCCGGTCCATTCTTACATCCCCAGAGGAAACCATGGACTTCTTCAAAGTCATGTATCAGGAGCCGGAGGGGAAGAGAATGATTATTGACATTGGATCTTATGGGTTCCAATGTGGCCAAAAAGAAGAAAGGTCTCTCCTCTATACCAGGCTTTGGAAGAGAGACCCTGCATTTGATCCAGCCGTCATGAAGCTCCCGTCTTTATACAAGGAAGAGCTGACCCCCCCCCCCCCCTTTCCCTTTAGGGTAGGTTAGGGTAGTTTTTGAAGAAATGTTGAATTTTCCCAAGGCCTGGGGGATGTCCGACCTAATATTTGACTTGCATGATAATTAAACTTTCTTCGCATGCTCTTGAATTTTACCGGTTGTATTTGCTCCAAGTTGAATGGTTGAACTTATTTTTCTCGCATGATCATTGTTTGATTTCTTGCACGGTTGTTTTCCTTGCTTGGTCCTTACTTGAAATTGCATGGTCAGACTTGCCTTTACTTTATCATGCTGGGCTGAACTTCTAAGTCAATAATAGTAACCGGCCACATACCTTTGGAATCGTTCAAAGAATGTCCAGGTCATCTCATGTCCTGGTCTTTGAAACATCCAGGTCTAATTGGCTTGGTTGACAATTTTCTAGTACACGTTTGCTTCCAAGTCAGCAAAAGTAACCGGCCTAGGCATGGTCACACGACATTTTTAAAAATGTCTAGGTTAGGTACACCTCATTGAAACTTTTACAAACGCTCCGGTCTTCCAATCTTGAAAACGTCCAGGGCACCTCATGTTTGGGTAGTCTTATGGGCCGGCTTACGGCTAGGTTGAGCTGCACAAAATGTCCAGGTCATCTCATGTCCTGGTTAGTAGGCTAGGTTGAAAATTTTAAAGGCTTGAAAACTTCCAGGTCATCTAATGTCCTGGTCTCCAGACTTGAAAACGTCATGGTCTAGTGTAAGATCTGAAGACATCCAAGTCTTGAAAATGTCCTGGGCACCCGCTGTTTGATTAATTTTCTGAACAGGCTTACTTCAAGGTTGTAAACTAACAAATGTCTAGGGTGAATTCGTCCTGGTCCACTTCCAATGGTTTGGTTGCATTACGTCACCAGCATGACGTCAAATTTCTGTCCAGGTGCCGGGTCAAAAATGTGACCGGTCACAATTGAAGTTCTCCATATTGGTCCGATTTCATCAGATCTGACAACTAAAAAGTGACCGGTCACTTTTCTCAAAAGATGACTGGTCAATTTTTAAATTTTCCCATTCGCCCTCTATTGTCAATCCAAAACATCAAGAAGTGACCGGTCATCCCTCATCAAGACCAGGCTAACGGCCATCCGGGTTACCCCCAAGTAGAGGTATAGCATCTCCTTCGTTTCTGGCTTGGACAAGACAATGTCTGAAGTCAGGTACGTTTTTAGCTCCTCGAATGCCTTGACACATTCGTCATCCCATTGGAAGGTATTGGCTTTCTTTAAAACCTTAAAGAAAGGCAAGGCCTTCTCTACCGACCTAGACAAGAACCGGTTTAAGGCCGCCAAGCGCCCTGTTAACCTTTGGACATCCCTTACCGATGTCGGGGGTTGCATCTCCACAATGGCCTTGATCTTTTCAGGGTTTGGCTCAATCCACCTCTTTGTGACCATGAAGCCTAGAAACTTCCCCGTTCTCACAGCAAAAACACACTTCTTTGGATTAAGTCTGAGATTATGCCTGGCCATAATCTCAAAGCATTTTTCTAGGTCCTGAGCGTGTGTGCTAGCTGCCCTGCTCTTCACTAGCATATCATCGACATAGGCCTCCATGGTCCGTCCAAGCAAAGGCCTGAACAATTTGTTGACCATCCTCTGGTAAGTTGCCCCTGAGTTTTTCAACCAAAAGGCGATCACTTTGTAACAGTATGTGCCGTCCAGAGTTAGGAAGGTCGTCTTCTCCTCATCATCTTCCGCCATGAAGATTTGGTGACACCCCTTGAAGGCATCCATGAAACTGAGCAACTCACACCCGACAGTTTCGTCCACCATTTGGTCCGGGCTAGGGAGAGGATAAGAATCATTGGGCATGCCTTGTTGAGGTTTGTATAATCCACGCACATCCTCCAGGTATCACCCTTCGGGGCTAGGACCACATTGGCCAGCCATTCAGGGTAATTCACTTCCCTGATATGACCTACCTCAAGTAGGTCCTTGACCTCCTTCTTCACAAAATCCCTCCGTTCACTTGCCAAGAATCTCTTCTTCTGTCTTACAGGCCTAGACCTCTCAAGAACAGAGAGACGATGGCAAATGATTGACCGGTCAATTCTGGGCATATCAGCAAAACTCGAGGTAAATAATGATTTATACTTGGTCAGCACCTGGACAATCTCAGTCCTTAGCTCTTCTTGAAGATCAACCCCGATTCTGACCTTTCTCTCAGGGTTGGAAGCATCAATCTGGATCTCCTCTGTCCACCTCCTGGGAAACCAACTCAATTTGCTCGAATTAGCGGGCCATCTTTTTTACCGCTTCTAGGTAACAGGACCGTACATTCTTCTGATCACCTCCTTCCTCCCTGATCCCATTGGGAGTATAGAACTTCATGCATAAGTGTGCCATAGAGATGATGGCCCTGACCTGGTTGATTCCAGGCCTACCCAGAATGGCATTATGCATGTTTTGTTACCCGACCCCAAGGTAACCTGTAAGGTGATCTGACCTTTCGCTTCTATGCTGGCTCCAGTGAAGCTTGACAATGGAGTTTGTAATGGCCTTAACATGAACGTGTCAAGTTTCAGTTTCTTAAAGGCGTCCAAGTACAAAACATTGACACTGCTTCCTGTGTCAACCAGGACCCTGGCCACATCAGCTCCGTTGATATCCATTGTAATGACCAAAGGGTCATTGTGATCTCCCCCGTCCTGGGCAGATCCCTATCAGTGAAAGTGAGAGGTTCCCTCCTTGCCTGTTTCCCTTGTGATTCCAGGGAAACCACCGCTACGTGCAAGCTCATGGCCCAGTTCTTCCGCTAGGAGGCTGTATCCCTGCATTCTGGGCCTCCGACGATCATCTCGACGAACTCCTTATCAGGCTTGTTGTTATCCTTGCCTTTCCTCCTTCCCTGATCTTTTTCTTGAGGACGTGTCCAGGTGTTAGCTTTCGGATCTTTCTTGTTTCCCGTCGCATAACCTTCCCCAAGCTCTCCCTTTAAGGCCATCTCCTTGAGTACAGCCTTGACATTTCAGCAATCCGCCGTATTGTGGGAGTCGGATTGGTGGTAGGTACATAACTTCTCTGTCCAAGCCCGCTTGGGTTTTTCTCCTTTCTTCTCGTCCCTTATTTGATGGACAGACCCGTCATACGTGGCCCTCGGCTTGGACCCCCCGTCTGATCGTGTTTCTTCGGCTTGTCGGTTTTCACCCTGGTATAGCCTTCCTCTAGCTCTCGCTTGCTTTTGTTAAGGACCTCCGCCTCGGCATACTCCCATGCCGTATTGTAAGCTTCCTGGTAGGAGGAGGGTGGCCTCCTACAAAATTCAGTGTAGAGGTCACCTGACCAGAAGGCATTCATTAGCAAAGACATGGTTGTCTTATCGTCCATCTCTTCAACCTTGTTAACCTCGTCCCTCCAGCGGGTCAAGAACTGAGTCAAGGACTCCTTCTCTCTTTGCCCTACCGTGTTAAGGTAGGTGAACTTCTTCCTTTTGATGCAGTTGTCCTGGTACTTCTTGCGGAAAACTTCGACAAGTTTCTCAAAGGACCCAATCCTACCATGGGGAAGGCCGTTAAACCATTCCACTGGTCTCCCACTCAAGGATGAGAAGAAGAGTAGGCACTCCTCATCATCAGTGCACCCGGACATCTGTGCTGCATTGTGGAAGGTGTCAAGGTGGACATTTGGATCCTCCTTTCCCGTGAATTTCTCCACGTCCAACTTGACCTTCCGCCTAAACTTTTGTGCATGTACCCTGGCCGAAAAGGGTGATCTGGCCAGTGTGTGCTTCTTTGGTCCCGCCTTCTCTTCTACCTTTTCCTCCAGGGCACGCAGCTTTCGTGCAACACTCCCAATCTTGTCCAGGTCATCCTCATCCTATTAGAGCCTGGTATATGCCGATGTTGTAACGCCCCGAAACATACCCTAGAATTATTATTAAATAACTATTCGATTAAACAAATTTTTTTTGATTATTATTGGGCTTTGGGCCGATATGAAATATTTTTTTAATATCCAATATCAAAATCTGGATAAGTCTAATCGAGATAAATCCAATATGTGGACTATTTGTGTGGTCTTGATTGGGAACCTCAGTACAGACCCAAATCAAGAATAAATAAATTAATTAATTATGATGTGAACTTTGTAATGATTTATTGAAATAAATCATGAGAATAATTGATATGAATTAAATGAGAGAACCTTTTATGAGAAAGGTCAATTAAACCAATTTTGACTCTGTTAAAGTCAAACACCCAAAAATATGATGTCGGAAAAAGTATTACAAATAATTATGAAAAGTATATCG